TTATTTTCCTGTAGACTTAATAGTCTTAGACACTCAACCTGTCCAAAACTCAAAGGGGCACATTCCAGTCATATTAGGCCGTCCTTTCTTGGCCACCTCTAATGCTCAAATTAACTGTAGGAATGGTGTGATGAAAATGGCATTTGGTAACATGACTGTCGACCTTAATATTTTTGATATTGACAAACAGTCACCATGTGAGGATGAGGTGAGTGCAGTTTACATGATAGATAGTCAAATTAAAGAACACCTTACTCAATCAAGCTATAAGGATCCTTTTGAAGCTTGTCTATCTCATTTTAATGACATTGATGAAGACTCTACGATTGAATCTGTCAATATTTTTTTAGAGTCTTTCGTAGATATTAGTAGGCAAAACTTGGGCTTTGTCGAGTCACAATCTAAAGAGATTATCCCAAGTTTGTGGCATGAACAAGAATCCAATTTTGAGTTAAAACCTTTGCCACCCGATCCTAGTATTGAAATTGTGGGACCAACAGAAATTATGTCAACTGTCGTTGCCCCAAATAATGATCACATTGAAGGGAAAAAGGTAGTTGATGAGAATGACCAATGCAGTAAAGAATTTGAGTGTGATTTTGTCATAGCAGAACCCATACTTTCTAGTCATAGAATTTTGTTGGAGGCACTTTTCTGCAAGCAAACATTTCCTTGGTATGCTGAATGTTTCTATCATGTGAGTAAAATTACACTTTCGACTAAATTGGTTTCACAATTAAGTAAGCAATTGTTAATCAGGTCACAAATATTTTGTTGGGCAAATCCATGTATTGTTAATTATAAAAAGCGAATAAGAGAAAGTGACTTGGTGGTGATATTTCACTTTGTGTATAGTTTTCATTGGAATAACCCTCAACTATTTCGTCTCTTGCTATATGACCATGGTGGGCAACTCTTGGTCTATTGAAATCTATATAGAGATTAGATTTGAGGGATGCTCTAAATTAAAAAAAAAAAAACTATTATCGCTTACTTTCTTTACTTTTGTTTAGTGCAATTTTTCTTTTCTTTTCTTGTGTTTCCATAATTTGTTTTGCAGGTGTCGCACAGTTCAATCTCATCGCGCTTACCAGGTGTATCCTAATCCATCTCTTTTTAAGCATTTGTATTCATGACATTGAGGACACTGTCATATTTAGGTTTGGGGGAGGATTCACCTATTATTTATATGTTTGTTCTGTGCATAGTAACTATAGTATATCATTTTTGTTACCTTCAAAAAAAAAAGTAAAAATTGAAAATTTTTCAAAAAAAAAAAATTTTGGATACTTGATTATGATTTCCGACGTGGTTATTGGTTTTCAATTAGTACTAGTTCGATTGTTGCCCAAGTTCGAGTCTTGATATGATTTTATAGATAGAGTTAAGCTTGTGATAGGCATTGATGAGAGACACTTAGTTAGTTCATATCACCTATGTTTGGATAGCGATTAATCACTCGTATGCATGCCTTTGCACGAGCACCGTCACACTTAGAGTTGGATTTGACCTCGAGTGCCGTACATATATTTTTGATGCCTCAGTATGAGTCAAATGTCTTATTGGAATGCTTAATGTCCTATCCCCAAAGAAAAAAGAAAAGAAAAAAAAAAGAGTAAAGAAGAACCAAAAAGAAAAAAAAAAAAAAAAAAGAAGAAGAGAATAGTGCATGCTTTTTCAGGTTTTTCACTTAGTAACCGGGCCTCTTGCCTCAGTAAGCAGTGAGTGTTCGCGTCAAACGGTGGAGAGTTCTGGGATTGTCATGTGTGGTTAGCTTGGGTTCGTAGCCTTTTTGACTCGAGTGATTAAGTCCGTTGGGGTGTTCTCTACATCTAGTGCCCTAAAGCCGTTTGGTTTGGGTGTCATTGGCCGAAAGCTCGCTACAAGGGTTAATTAGAAAGCTTAAGGGACCAAGGCATTGCACGACCACAAGAAAAAAAATATAGCAACAATAAAAAGAAAAAAAAATATGAATAAAGGGAGGGACTATAATTTGATATAAGCATTTTGATGAGTATTGAGGCATTGAAGGTGCGTGTATTGTTTTCGAGATTAATGAACACCTTTGTGTGATTTTTCACTTACACGCATGACTTGTGATTTCGTTCTATCCAGATATATGTGGGGGGGACAATTTTTGTGCCAATTTGGATTAGAATGTTCACTTGTTTAACTTTGTTAATGGATGAAATATCTTGCCTCTAACTTGTGTTATTATCACGCTAGTTACTTTGAGAGGCCATAGTCTATGTTTTGGAATTCTAATCTAGTGTCATCTTGTTAAGAATTTTGTGGGTATATTCACGGCAAACCTTCACGAGACTATAACTCGTCCACTAGGGCAACCTAGGGGTTTAAAGGCTTGTTGCATATGCTAAATGCAATCGGACTCCTCCGAAAAAGGATTAACTAGTGTTTTCCTTGTTCTTTGTTTTATTTATTTCTTTTGCTCGAGGACTAGCAAAATGTTGGTTTGGGGGTATTTGATGAGCACAAAATATTACACTTATAGACCCAATTATCATATGTTGCTAGTTATTAATTGTGTTTAATTGGTTATTGTTATTATCTTTTCGGGTCGTTCACCTTAAATTATTAATTTGCAGGAAAGAGATGATAATAATAAATATTTCAGCCGTTGGATTTGATTAATGTTGAGTTGATTCGGAAAATTTCCCTGTGAAGAAATTGCTCACATCTTGAAGATGCATGATGACTTACACGTGGTCATCAATTTGGAAAGTAATTAATTAGATTCTATTGGGTTGCTAGTTGCCACTACTGGAAGACTAGAGTTAGAATTGAGGAAGGAAATAAATTCTTCTTTCCTAATAAGATGTTATATTTCGTAAATATTCTAGCAACAGTACGAGATTATAAAAGGGGATCTTGGACGGAGAGAAGGCTTGGAGATCACGAAGCAGAGCACCATCTCGGCGCAGAGAAGAAAAATTAGGAGAAATCATTATTCGTTTCTTTCGTAAGCTGTTTTAATGGAGTTTTATCTTTATGTGTTTATGTGTTTTAACTCCATGAGCAGCTAAACTCTTGAACTAGGGTTGAGGATGAAACTCCTATAAAGTTTATTGATTGCTTTTATGCATATGATTTTTCCTACGTGCTTTCATTGTTTATTGTTCTGATCTCATTAATTAATTTGGTTGAAACTCGGATATGGATTCAATCAGAATGGGTTTTTTCCATGATTTGATATCACCCTATTAATCGAATTGCTTGGTTTATCAGAGTTAATATTTAAGTACGGGATATCTTCTGTGATTTGTTTATACGGATACAGTTGATGATTTTGGCTTAAACCTTTAAGTAGAGGAGGAACATATTTCCGATATAAATAAAAAAGGCTTAACGAAATATTATCCACAGTGGTTAAGATTAGTTTCTAAATCATTGTGCAGAAATAAAAGGAAAAATCATTGCATAAGATTGGTTGATAAATATTTGTGGGTGTGGATTCCGAAACCCTAGTATTTTCTCCTTTGATTAAAAAGAAGCTTTAATTTTCTCGTCTTTGATAATTTAGTTCATTGTTTTTACTTTTCGCTTTTAGTTTAAAAACTAATCACAACTTTTGTCAACTAGGTTAGGGTTTAATCAGTTTAAGTTATTTAGTTTTCCTAAAAAAAAAAATCATAAGTCCCTGTGGGTTCGACCTCGCTCTTGCATTACTATACTTCGGTACGATTCGTGCGCTTGCGAGTACAATAAAATTTCACATCAATTACCGTTCGCGTATTGTCCTTGTGTGGAGCTCTTTTCATGTGCATAGGTGAGTGTTCACCCAACAACGCCTTGTGGGTTCATCCTCGAATATATAACCCGGTCATTGAGGTTTGTGTACCCAACAAGGGCTCTGGTGTTGGGAGTTTGTAGCCTCCGTGCAGTTTTTTGTTATTTTTGAACAATGAAATTGTCTGTTTACTTTTTCAAAAAATAAAATAAAATTGATGGCATTGCAAATTATCATGGGCTGTATTCTTCAGGACCCAAGTAGTTTTAGCAGAGTTCCAACTTCCAATTTCGTTTCTTTCCAATTATTTTCAGTCGAGCCATGTCTTCATTTGGGCTGTCCAGGCCTGAAACTAGTGTGGGCTGACATTAGCCCAAAAGAATCACACCACTTATGGTGTTTTAATTAGTATAACCTTTTTGAATAAATGTTGTCTAAATTCGTTCACTCATTTTCAAGTGTGGTCGGGAAAGTTAGAGCATTTACAAATTGAAATATTAATATACAAATTCAATATTTAGAATCTATGGAAATCCATTATTCAATTAAAATAAAATAATTGAAAAAGAAATGAAAATGACAGTAGTACACCCTAAACCCCCTTATTTCGGTTTTGATGACAACGTATTCATCAAGCCGTCGTCCTGTGTAGCAAGTAAGGCAATACAGTTTCTATTTGTGCTATACTTTGTCGTTCATAGTAAGATTTAGAAGATAATCTGAATCGAAGAATTCAAAAAAAATCTTATAATAATATTGTATAATTTATACAATATTATTTATTATACGAATATTCTATTCTCTTCATTTTGTCTTAATTCTATAGGGTTCAATAATAGATTAAATACATTATTCTAAATAAATACATATTTGTAAAAAAAAAGGGAGTTTATGGTAAAAAATTCATTTATTTCCGTTATATCACAAAAAGAAAAAGGAAGAAAACCAGGGATCTGTTGAATTTCAAGTATTCCGTTTTACCAATAAGATATGAAGCCTTTTCTTACATCTGGAATTGCACAAAAAGGACTATTTATCGCAGAGAGGTCTATGAAAAATTGTGGGAAAACATCAACGTCTACTAGCTTATTTATCAAAAAAAAAAAAGGTACAGGACAAAGAATTAATAGGTCAGTTGAATATTCGAGAGAAAACAAAGCTGTTAAAGGAATCCCTTAATTACGGGATACAAATCATAAATTGAATTCATTAAAGGATCTATTCTATCTTTTTTAGAAGATAGAAGATGGCATGCTGCCACTCCGACTCGAACCGAGATGCTCTAGTACTGCTTCATTAAAGCAACGTCTCTACCAATTTCACCATGGTGGCTTGCTGCTAAAACTGATAATATCATATTCATATTCAATTATCCAGATTGAAGAAGTAAACTCAATCTAGTATTTTTTAGGAAAGATTCAAATTGATGAATAATAATTCTCTAAGATAAAATAGATCTATATACATCGATTATATACATATGTATACGTAGTAGATTCATAGTGGCTAGTTAGTGCCTCATTCTTGAATAAACTCAAATTGGCCCTTTTAAGTCAGTTAGAGCAACGCCGTGGTAAGGCGTAAGACATCGGTTCAAATCCGATAAGGGGATTTGGCCCTTTTTTCATAAAACTCCTATCATAATGTTATATTTACATTTTATGATGCAATTGATGGCAAGGCATGATATCATATTTCATTGAAATCCAAATAACTCAATTATGGAACTTGCTCAAATCCAAAGGGGTCGGTTCAAATCAGATAAGGGGATTTGGCCCTTTTTTCATAAAACTCCTGTCATAATGTTATATTTACATTTTATGATGCAATTGATGGCAAGGCATGATATCATATTTCATTGAAATCCAAATAACTCAATTATGGAACTTGCTCGAATCCAAAGGGGTAGCTCAAATGGTACGCAAATAGGGCAATAGGAGTGAGGTATAAACCCAAGTATTCTGAGTTCGAAACTTGACAATCTCTTTGGGGCCCGGTTGCAAGAGAAAAATCTCTTACGAATCCCTTAGTTCCACTGCGGATGGCCTGTCTTAGACCAGACCGAGGAGAATAATAGTTGAAGTGAGTGTAAACTATACAAACACCTCTTACCGTCGAAAAAGGAAAAAAAAAAAAAAAACTACCCTGTGTGTTTTCACATCTTCCCACATAGAGATAGGCCCAATGACTCATCTGGCCCCTCCTCTCTCCAGCCTTTTGCATTTATAGTCCTACCCTATTACCAAACTATATATCTTTTTCTATGCATCCAAACAACCAAAAGTAATCCTATGGTGAGAATGATTGTTGCTATTTAGAAGCCCCAAGTCAAAGTGGGGGATGTTTCAATGCCCATTTTTTATACTTTTGGATGGTGATGGGTCACCAATTGATTGAGTTTAGATACAAGATTGGTCACATTAGATCATACTATAACTTTGCACATGCAAGGTGGGACATGTTCTCCACTTCTTTTACATGTAATTAGGTTGTGGAATATGACTTTAGCATTTTCCATTTTTCTAAATGCATTTCTTTCTTTTCTTCGTGTAAAATTGTAAAATTATCCGTTTTATGTTCTCTTTTCACATATTAAAGGATAATCTTGTAATTTCAAATCAATAAAAGAGCAGAAAATAGAGTATAATTTTACATAAAAAGGGGAGTGTCAAAATTTGTTACCTTTAGTTATCGAACTTTCGGGATTTAGTTAAACAACAAAACTCTTGATGTTATGAAAGTGCAGGGTCATCTCTAAGGCAAGCTTAACAAGGCGGTAGCTTCGGGCCCCCACAATTTTGCCAGAACTAGGGCTCCCAATTTGCAAAGCTAAACATATATATATGATAGAGTATTAAAGTTTGATCTTTGTAGTATGAAATCAACTGTTGGTTTACCGGTAAAAACGCACCTTATGGAAGAATTTGAAGAAGCAGCAAGAGCAATAGAGCATGGTTTGAACCTTGACGGATTTTAACAAAATACCAAAATTATTTAGAATGAATCTTTGGAACCGAAGCATAAACTTTCTTTTTTTTGAAAGACAAAAAAATTTCATGAATCTTTGAATTTGTTACAAAGATAAATTGGAACAAGGAATGATGACATCAAATCCCTAACCTGAGACCCAAATGATCTACAATGCTACTGTTTGGGCTAAATTAGCTCAACTTTGGCAAAATGATTATGTGCAAGCATGCCAAAAAAGAATAGAAATTATCCTTTTCAGATTAACTCAAAAATAATAACTTAATCAGGCAATTGTGATTATCCGTTCGATTACCTAAACGAAAAGATTTTTCTATAAGGTGTCAACCAAACTGAATCGAAACTCTTCAAACAGAGAAATCAGAAAAAATAACTGAATATAAGCAAACTTAAATTTAATCAAAAGCAAGCTTATATACGATTACTCTTAATATTTCAACAAGAACAAGACAGAAATATAAGCGTGCTTGAATCTAATCAAAAGCAAGCTTAAATGCGATTGCTCTTTTAGCAAGAACAGGGTAGAAATAATATAAGATAACTTGAATTTAATCAAAAGTAAGTTTACATTCAAATAAGTCTTCAAACTTGTAAAATATTAATTAAATTAGAGCTACATTAACTACTTCAAACTAATTCTTAAGTCCTAAACTACTTTAGATCTCTGAACAACCAATTTTGTATGGAATGTGATGATTTGATAACCACCATTTTTTAGATCTCTGAACAACCACCACAGCAGAGCACAACACCACCTCCAGCCACCACAGAGACAACCTAAGTTGTCAAAGAAACACCCTAATTCAACCGCCAGACAGCCACCCGGAGAGACACCCCAAGTCGCCGCCGCCGCCGCCGCCCCACAGGTCGTTAGGCCAAGAAACCGAGTGTTCTCAGAAAAAACACCAGCGAAGACACCCGATCCGTGTAACCCATGAATCAGGAGAAATATAGTACATAAATTCTCACTAGTAACATTTTACCATGTATCGTTTAATTTTATCAGTATAAATCATTGTTATAATAGACATAGAACCTGATCATTTTACGAACTCCCTTCAAATCCTAAAAGTTTTTACGACGGCCCTCTGACATAGGGATCTCAAGTTTTCAGCTTTCAAGAAATGCAAAGATCTTTCATGTAATGAGAACTAGGGCCCTCATTAGTACCTTCAGTTTTCGAATGGGACCTTCACCCCCCAATTAATTAATCAACTTCTCTCTTCTTCTTTTTTTGCATTTTTTCATTTTCTTTCATAAAGAGAGGCCTAAAACAAGAGGCAAAAGGAGTTTAGATCTACTTTTGCAACCAGTTGTCACACGTGTGGTACTAATCATGTTAACCACCAAGCCCACCACCACCACCACCCCTTTATGCAATCATTCACTCCATCTCTGCTTCCCAAACAGCCCCTTAACTTTCTTTTTCCCTAATCCAATCTTAACTGTCTAATTAACTAATAAAAAAGCTATCTTTTTTCCTTCTCTTTTCCACTTTTTCGATAGATGAATAATTAATCACACAAAGCCTCTATCAAAAAAAATTAAAAATTAAAAAATAATCAAACAAAGCATTAATCACATAGTTGGGCTACTGGTGGGCCACCCGCTCGTGCGGTCATGAGAGCTGAGGCCCATGAATCCACTGACCGGCCTATTAAAAAAAGCCTATAAACAATGGGAGGAATTGGAATATGACTTGTCGTTTTTTGGGGGAGGGTACTTTCCTTTCGCTTCACTCTCATTTTCCAACCAAAAGTATATTCCTAGAGAAAAAATAAAAAATTCTAATAAATAAATGCATGTTAGAATTATTGGGGTATATGCATACAAAATCATATTCCAAAGTTTGCTTTAGACTCGAATAAAATCAACATTATATACACATACTAATTTATTAAAGTATATATATATGTATATGTATTGTTTTGCGCACAAATTATATATACATTCCAAAACCTGTCTTGTAGAACCAATAGAATATACTGTAGTTTTTCTGCTTATCAACATCGATCCAGAATTTGAACTATGAACATGAAATTTATATAAGCATAGCAGCGATCAAAGCTCAAGTGAACAATATTACCTCCAAAGATTTGGAAATTATGCTCGGAATATATAGCCCGTGGGATGAGAGATTAAAAAACATATTAGAAAGTCTGGTTAGAGATTGAAGGTTAATTAATCAGCACTGCCATTAACGTTCATACTAAGTTCTTGAGCCTCAAGTTGCACGGGTTTTACCGTTTTAGGGTGGTGTGTACTGATAATTTCTATTTTTCTGAGATCGACTCCTAGCCACCTTATGTCTCCAATTAGTAATTTGGAACAACACCCGATTTTTATTCAGACCACAAAGATATAGAGGGAAAATTTCAATAATTCTTTTGTATAGTTTCTATGAAAAGGGAAAAGTACAAAACCATTTTATCATGCGAAAAAATAACTGATCAATTAATTAAACATGAAAAAAAAACATGTATTAATTTATGGGACTCGTTAATTTGTTAATCCATGTTCACATGTTAGCATCTTTCTCTAAATGTCTATGTTCTTGGAAATCCCGCTATATAATTCACATTCAATGCATGGGGTGACCTAGTATGATATTAAAAGGTGCTTATATGACCTAGCTAGAGCCTAGATCCCCGGGGGTTATTCTATCATGGCCCTCCATTTCTAAATAATAGTGTTAGACTTGTCTCATATCGCTCATCTAAGCCACCCAAACTTAGTTGATATATTCTAGAGGCTACTCCATCTATTTCCAATTGATTTTAGGTTGGAATCCTCCAAGAAATCTAATATAGTATTAGAGTTAGGTCTTAGGTGGCCTCACCTCTCGTCAGAAAGTCTCTGTCATCTCTATCGTCTGAGTCAGTCAATCAGCTCCTGGTCTGTCACCTCCACGTGTATCCGGGCTACACGTGAAGGGGAGTGTTAGATTTGTCTCACATCGCTCATTTAAACCACTCAAGCTTGATTAATATAGTCTAAAAGATACTATACCTATTACCAATTGATTTTAGATTAGAACCTTTCAAGAAATCTAACAAATAGTATATATAAACTAGAATGCCAAAAAAAAGAAAAAGAAAAATAATAATGAGAAAGTAGGAAAGGAGGAAGCATCAAAAGCTAGCAAAAAGAAAAGCAACACTTGCTGTTTTTCTATTTATAAACTCTAGCTCTCATCACCTCCACTGCCTCTGCTCATTGTCACAACTCACAAAAAGGCTCTTATAGCAACAATGGCTTCAGAGAAGGTTGAGACTGTCGTCGCCGGAAACTACGTGGAGATGGAGAGAGAAGAAGAAGGGGAACCGAACTGTGTGAAAACCAAG